GATATTGGAAAAAGTTGTTGAGTATATCGTATTACGATTTTTGTATATAGCGGTTTAAAACGGAGTCTATACTTAACCAGTTTCTTTCACTGATTTTATATGTTGAACACCCGATATCTATATGTGGCGATATGATATTTATAATACCTTGAATGAACACTTGGATTATCCATTCTTGAATTCATTTTAAACTTTATTTTACGTAAAGCAAGTCAAATTTGGACTATATTCTTTCAAAATGAGTCTATGAAATGTATCGTATTTTGAAATTAAAAAAAAAATATGTTTCTACGTATATCTAAATATTTACTGTATTACTATATTACAAGTCTATTGGTATTATTTAGTTATGATATACTAGAACACTAAGGAAAGGAAATTAATTTTGCCGAGTTTATGAATTTTATTTGAGCGCCAATTATATAGGTAATATAGGTAATAAGATTGTCACATCATATTAAAATGTTACACTTCTAATGTTTATTAATATAACTATCAACATATTTTTACACGTGCCATTTAGACATTTTCATTAATTTATATTAATTTTTATTAATTTTCATTTACTAGTGGTTAGTTGTATACAATTTGAGTTAATACTAGTAATGTCCAGTTCCTAATCAGAAATCCCATATTTAAATGCGTAAATATAGAACTAAATAATATATAATATAAAAATTAAAGCAATCCTATGCAAATTTAAATATGTATATTTATAGAAGAAGTACATTGATATATCAATATTTTAATTAATATATATATATATTTTTTTAAATTTATTAGAAATATATTTTATAACATATTTCATATATTGTATTTATTTAAATTTTATATTCTAAATTTTAATATATATAAAGATATTCATAATATATTATATATAATTATATTATATATTATATTATAATACAATATATATATATTATATTTAAAATATATACAATATACATATTATATTATATATATTATACATATGCATATATATGTATACATTAAGTATGTATATCTATTATGTTCATTAATATAATAAATATTATCTATTACATATTACACATTAGTTTTGCTCTGAGTCCTTCGCTAATATTGATATAAAAAAAATTATCCATGAAACAATCATATAGTCCATTTAATTAAGTAAGGCCACTAAACAACAACAAATTACATATTAAAAAAAATAGAAGAAGCCGGTTTTACTATGTATTTTGTTGTTGAGTAAATGTCCTTTACTGTAATGCGCTATATCTCAATGCATTCACATACACGTATCAATTAATGAACGCTCATATATCTGCAGGCATATACCCGCATTGGTATATTTAAAACATAACTGACTTTTGAACAGATTCATATATATATATGAATATAATTACTTAATTTTAAAGTGTTATAATTTGCTAGTAATAACATTAACTTTATATATTACAAATTTGGTTGTTCTAATATGACTTGCACAAATACTACCTGCTACGTTGTTCTGGTGTTTTATTTGCTCCAATTTGCAAATGCTCACTGAGTTGTTCATTAATTTAGTTTGTTCTTATATTTAGCTTTATAATACTCTAAAACTCTTTTTTGCACATATTATTATTGCTTTATAAAAAAATAAAAATAAAAGAATGGTGGTTAAAAAAAATTAACCTCTCTATTTAATATTCAAAATTCAAAAATTAGGTTGATTTAAAATTTGATTTTATATAAGACAATAATTTTAAGTAGTCGACTTTAAGTTGATAGTTAATATACTATATATAATATAGTATACATATTTGGTTCATTGCATTTTTAAAGCAGTTGCATTTTAAGATTTCTGCACCAAAAACTAAAGGTCTTACTTTATTCGTAGTAAATTAAGCTAGTTCTAGTACAAAAAAATAATTAAGTATTCTTCACAATTCAAATAAACTTCACGCTTATATTATAGGTTCACTGTTAAGAAAGCTACAAGTGTTCGCCAGTCCCTATTCAATAAAATATAGGATTCAGACGAAATTATTATAGGTACATACATATATGTATTTGCATTGGCGTAGCCAAAATTGTATTAAGGGCTACAATCTTTTTAGGAATATACTATGGAATATTATATAAAATATTGTAAAAAAAAAAAATATTATTATCTTATTCTAATAAAAGTTAATGGAATGTACCAAACGGAAAAAGGCAGATATACTTCAAAATATATATATACAAATTCTTATATTCTTCTCCTTAACTCCTTTTTTTAAAATTCACTTAGGTAATTCTTGTAAGATTGTTGTTATTTATTTAAATACAGTCTTTGGTCAAAATCTAAATCTTACTTTTATAGCGTTACTTTTTTCATAGATATTTTCAAAAGTTTAAGAACCTCTACTATTACTTCTAACTTTTCATTATTAAAATTCGTAGCTAATATTAGTACTAAAATATAAATTCAATAATTTATTAGAATTGTATAACTTCTATTATCTTTATATAGTATTGTCGAAGAAATCCATCTTTTTGATCATTCTAATCATTAAATATGCTACGGCACATTTGATATCCAACCCATATATAGTAAAGTCATCTTACTCATAACGAGAATGGGATGAAAATATTGGACATTACATCTAATTCTTCATGTATTATATGAAAAATTGAACTTGGATAAAAAAAAAAATTTCACAAATAATTGGACACCGTCTATATGTCTATAACATATTATGCCATGTGTATATGAGGTGTTTTCAAATTTTTGCACTCGAGTTATATTATATATTATGTATTATTAATTACTTATTATATATTATAATATAGAAATAAACAGGGTACCGGTTTCTGATAGAGCGAAATACCGCGAGCATAGGTGATCTTTTGTGCTGATATATTATAATATATTAATAATATATTACATATTATAAATTTAACATTGTGTATTATATTATTAAGTGTTATATATTATATAGTATATAGCGTTTTTTATATATTAAATATTATAAAATATATATTCCATATTGTTTATATGTTATGATACGAAAAATGAACTTTGTTTTCCATATTTTGTTTTATATTATGTACTTTTCTTTGTTATAGAAAATAATAGTTATAGTGCTGAAATTTAAAAAGAATGGGTTTCTACATTTATACATGTTATAACATATAATAATATTTAATATAATATAATATTTCATATTATGTATTATATGCTATATATCACATATTATACATTATATAATATATATTTTTTATGTTGAAGTTATTTGAGGCAGTGCACTTGAGCACTTTTACTCTTACTTAACTCGAGGTATTTTCAAAATCCCTCTTTACGCCTTGACTGGATTATTGTTAATCACTTCTTCAGACTAAGCAATAATTGACCTCAGATCTGCATGCCTCCCCGAGGAGCCTGTAACCATTCTGAGATTTGATAACGCATGTTGGTAAGTCTGTCAGTTTTCGCAATATATGGTATATTGTTTATTGTATATTGTATATCAGTTATATTATGAATTAAAAATAATTATTTTTTATATTTTGTTTTATATTATTTATGTATTGTTCTCTATAATAGTTAGTTATATTGCTGATTTTTTATAAGAATGGGTTTTTACACTAAAAATTAAAATTTTCACTTGTAATATATATAATTGTTTTTATGGCTATTTTATGGGAATTTTGACTAAAACTGATATATGTATGCTTTGAAAATAATTTGTGTATTTCTATAGAAAGAAATTTCTCCCTTTACTTATATAGTATGTTAAGTATCCGTATTGCATAAAATATGTAATACTCGTAATATTCGCAGTTGTGTAGGCATAGTCTTGTGCTCCTCGGAATATCTTCGGACCAAATGCGTCCACCTATGTTAGTGGGGCTCTTTTTGTTTACTAAAATCAGCCAATAAGCAGATTAGCTGAGAAGAGCATGTAATGTATCTGATGCTTAGGCTGGCTGCACATTGAGCAACAGCAACAGCAACACATCGACACATCGGCAACAAAAACAGAGTGCAACAACACAACCTAAAGAATAAATCATTAAGAGCGATCTTCTTGCTTTTACTTGTCTGCAAATCCTCCAACGAAATGTATAACAGTATTCCCTTCCAGTCGTTATCGGATCGTGTTGAAGTACAGACGTGAATTACGAAATTGTATTTAGACTGCAGCATTTGTGCAAGTTCAGTAAGGAATCGGAATGTGTAAAAAGTGATTTCCATATAAATTATAATCAACGAATAAAAATATTTATTTGAAAAAAATAATTAAAAATTTTTTTTTATTTAATTAATTTTAATTTTAAAAAATTGAAATTTTATTTTAATTGAGAAAAATTTAACGAAGAAAAAAAATGTAATGAAAATAAATTTCATTGAAACCCGCAACCACAATAAATTCGAATTTTGTGTTTTTATTTTCAAGAATTTCTAATAGATTATTTCAAGTGATATCTCCGTGTCAAATGTTAAGCAGTAAATACACATTACTATGTGATGTACATACGAAATACAGAGCAAATGCATATAACACAACGCAAACGTTTAGAATTGTTTATACAACAATAATTTGAAGAAATATTGACTTCGGTTGATAATTTAAAACGTTTCACATTTCACATTTCCGTTTCATATTTCATGTATTTTTAAGTGTTTATTTTCGTTACTTGTGATACCGAAAGGCGTACCGCAGTGCACGCATTTTACAATATGGAAACCCCAAACATATGTCGTTATCGCTAAACTCTAATCTCGCTCAATGTGTGGAAAATATTTTCCCAAAAAGACAATTCTGTCTCCGGAGTCAACGTGTAGTCCTGTGCGTTAGGCAGGCGTCACCGAAAAGTCATAAAATTTTGAACTCAATAATGTAGATAAAAGTATAAAGTAAAAAGTAAAAAGGTCTCTAACTAAACCAGATAGATATTCACACATATAGACATTATTTTATTTATGATCCAATAAAATATCACAAATACTTTAAGTGTATAATAAATATAAAATATATATGGTAAATATCTATATAACAATTGTCCTCTTCCAGTGTCAATTTAAAGTGTCTAGTGTCTTGTAATGATTTCAAAGCAAGTCACTTAAGTGACTTCGTTATTAATTTATGTTCAAAGTGATTTGATTGATTGATTTCGAATTTTATTAAGTGTGAATTTGAAAACGTGAAAATATACATTTCAAGATGGCTTCGTTAATTTATACCGTTTTAAGTATTACTAATGTAGCGTCAGTACATTGTGCTGCACGTCCAGAAATCTCTCCATGCACTTGCGACTCAATTTCATTATACAACCTGAAATTCTTAGAACTAACTTGTGAAAAGGTCGATTCTTTTCATCAGATCGTCGACAAATTGTCTAATAAATTCGATCCGAACTTAAATATAAGTTTGAAAATAACGTATTCACAACTTGAGGACATGGAAATGTTATCGTTTAAGGACATGAATTTAAATGTGAATAAGTTACGTTTGCAATGGAATAATTTGAGGTAAGTTCCTTTTAAGGAGTACTATCTCTTCAATACAATAGATATCACAAACTTAATGTTATTGAAAAAAAGCAATCCTATGGGATTGAGTTATTGATCATTTAATTAATGTAAAAAAAAGTGAATGAAAAAGATTAATTAAATAAGCAAGCAAATTTGTGCGCTGACTCTGAGCTTCTCAAATTTGTCAGTGCACGAGTTGAAACATTGGTACTTATAGTTTCAAAAAGGTATTTACGTATAATTAAATATAAGAAATAATTCCAAAATCATTCGATTAATGTACAAAAAAGTGAATGAAAAAGATTAATTAAATAAGCAAGCAAATTTGTTAATAAAACTTTCATAGCAAAGTAATAAAACTCTAGAAAAATGTGCGAACATAAAAAGTCAAGTACGGCTTTGTGTCAGTTGGTTAAGGTGCGCTGACTCTGAGCTTCTCAAATTTGGCAGGCACGAGTTCAAACATTGGTACTTGTAGCTTCAAAAAGGTATTTACGTATAATTAAATATAAAAAATAATTTCAAGACCACTGATGATGGGTATACAGCCAAAAATTCAATTAATTAAAATAATATCAAATAAATTTTTGTTGTTGTAGTTCACTACTGTTCGAAAAAACCTCTTCATTAAAAAATATTTAAATGTTATATAAATAATATATAAATAAAATAATATATAAATAAATAATATATATATAAATTCAATTTTTATAATTTACTAAAATAATAAACTTCTACCAGTATTCCTTGACTCCCTCTCTGGCTTTGGAGTGCGATCAGAGCCAAATGTGTTTCATAGTCTGGTGGCTGAAATCCCTCCTCCTTTATAATTTTTTTTCTCTTCCCTTTATTTATACAACTGCCAAGATTTTGTATCTAGTATTTGTTTTAACAGTAGTGGAAATTACAATAATAATTCAAATCAATATTAAGAATTACATGTTGTGTGTGAAATATTAACAATAAATAATAAAAAAGTATTTAAATTAAATAAAATAAGATAATTAAATATTAAGAGTAGATGAGTCAATAAATAGATTAAAATTGTTTTATGTGTAGTTCCCTATGAATTGTTATATTGATAGTTCAGGTGGAAATAAGCGTTTCAAGCGTCTATTTTATGTGGTTTCGTCATTGGGTAGCTGCCTCATTTCTGGGATACGGTGACAGAGTACTCTATCTATTTTTACTATTTTTTGGATAACGTCTGCGACGAAGGATCTTTTTGACACGATGAATGTCATAGTTTAACACTCAAATAAAATAATTTAGTTTATTAAAAAGTATTGTTTTTAGAAAATATATTCCGGCATAGGGTAGGAGAGTAATCTATCTATTTTTACTATGTTTCGGATAACGTCTGCGAAGAAGGGTATCTATAAAACACGATGAATGTCATAGTTTAACATTCAGACTAACCTTTATAATTTAAATATTAAATATAATTAAAATTGTTAAAATGTAATGACTTTTTTTTAAAAATGATAAAAAAATGAATATATAAGTTCTTTAAAATATACAGTTTCTTTTAAACATGTATTTTAGGTTATTTATTAGTAACTTTATTTATTTTTGAGTTTTCTTTATTTATTTTTGAGTTTTCTTTATTTATTTTTATTATATTTATTTGATACTATTATTTATTTATTATTATATTTATCAATTTAACTAAACATAATTATTTTGGATAAGCTGTACAAGACGTTTTATATGGAGGGAGGGTATGGACTATGTCCAGTGACATATCCTAATATATTTATATGTAATGGTGTAAGCTAATCATTTATTTCAAGAGGGTCGTTGGAAGTCTGCTAATAACATAAATTGGTAAAATATATTCTTCAGTGATATATTATTAAAATTTTATTACATTTAAATAGATAGAAACTGTGTTATATCTATATTTATTTCAAGAAGGGAGTTCCATTATTACAAAATTCAGTAAAGTAGAACTTTCACTGATGTGTTATTAAAATTTTTTAATATTTGGATGGATAGCAAAGAAATTATTGGGTACTGCTTACTTTGGAATTCACTTTATAAATTTTTGTACTCTTTTCTTTCATTTTTATGACAATATTTTGCATTGAGTCATAAGAATCTTCCATTTTTAGTTCTCTGAACGTTACATACTTTTAGAAATAAGTGTTCGTAAATAAATGTATCTCAAAGGAAGTATATCATTTAAAAATTGTTATTTGTAGTGAGGTCAACTAATAACAATTGCATGGGTCAGTAACGGTAAACGTTCTATATACACCTCTGATTTGTTACGGTGTGACTTTAACGTTTTTGCAAGAATGTATTTCTCCATAATAAAAAATTCAAGAGAGAGAGTGAGAGAGAGATATATATAATAAAAAATATTTAGTTTTGATAATACTTTTGTGCTTCACGGAATTTTGGTGTTATGTTACATATATACTAAAGGAAGAGAATCTATATACCGTCTTCAAATATCCTAATATTCTGTGAAATATCATCGGAAACTAAAATAAATGTTATTGTGAAATGATATTGTACCATTATCATAGTATTATATCTATTGTATTTTATATCTAAATAAAACTTTATTTCATATCTAAATAAGAAGAAAATTAAAAAAAAAATTTTTTTAAAAATTTAACAAACAAAATGAATCACTTTTAAAGTTATTATCGTATCCTGGATCTTGCTACATCGATACATCTGAACTAATAATAAACATCAGTTCTGCTTGTCATATTTGATATTTAATAACATTCTCAAGCTGTAAGCATAAATCAAACTAATTTATTTAGGTGTTTGATAGACAGAGGACAGAGGAAAGTATCTTAAACACTACTCTAAATGCAATTATTAAGAATCGAGGGGTATGTATTTGCATTTATTGATAGTGAGTTCAATGTATAGACCTTCCTTTTTGAAATTACATTTTTAGAATATAGCCTAGTTTGAATCTTAAAAAGAAATACTTAATTAAAACTCAATTATGCAGGATCTCATAAGAAGAAAGGTCACGTGAGTTTCATATTTTTCTCTGATTATGATTGTGAAACAGGGAATACAGCCAGTAAAATCATAATTGCTAAATTGTTAGTACTATTTTGATACTTTTTTGTCAAATTGAGTAATATGCTTGTGTGAAATTTGGGAGTGTGAAATTGGGTGAATGTTGAGGTATGTTATGGTGGATATTGACCTAAGTTCGTCTAATGTTCTTTGCTTGTAGGTATACACTTTTGACTCCAAGAAACCACAGAAGGTGATTTCTTGGGTGAAATTGGGTAAATGTGGAGGCCCGTCGAAATCAATATTTTTTAGTATCAAGTGACCGCCGAACAATGAATTTAAGAAATCGATCGAGACATGAGATGTATGAGATGTAGCTCCTCTTTTGTATGAGATGTAGCTCCTCTTTTGTTGAAACCAAAAGTGCTAAGTATCATTTTCTCGAACCATAATATTTTACGATCAAATAATTGGTTTCAATAACAGATTGAATGTAGTTACTTTGTCACTATCTTCTTTGAAAAAATATGGTCCGACGATAATGTCAGCACAAATCCTGTAACACACTGTCAGTTTTTAACTATTAAGAGGCATTTTTTCAATAATTTGAGAATTTTTAATAGCATAGAAGAACCGACATTTTTGTTGTTTTAGGCTTTTTTTTAAGTCGGATGCCACTTCTGTGCAACATAAGTAGCTCCCTAGTTCTGATTTTTGATCGATACGGCATGGATTCTTTGACTTGTCTGCAGGCTATTGTATTATTCCAATCAGTCTGAGCTAATTAGATAGCATATGTTGTTTCTGTTAGTGTAATCTATACGAAAAAGTTCGTACCTTTAAACTTTGATGTCTCAAGAAGTATGCTATATCTGTATATAATTTTTTTTTAATTTATTCCATACTTCATTACGAGCTTAAGGACACAAAAAACGATTTCCAACTATCTCCATTTTACAAAATTTGTTGAAGTTCGTTAAACAATTTCTCAGTTTCAGTATTAATTGTTCTTGTTCTTTTACGTCGGGTTCCGTGGCGATTCCATGTCTTCATAAGGCCTACCCACCCAAATTTTCGCTTTTGAATTTCAACATTATAAAGATAGAGTTCTTCATTTAATATCGTTCTTGGCCATCATATCTTTATTATCACATGGACATATAGTGTAGTAAAATAAATAGCTTAAAACAGCTGAGTCTACTAACATCAATTATCGAAAAAAATTATTTTAATTAAAATTTGTCTTCAATCCACACAATTTGTAAATCCACACAGGGATTGACTCTGTGAAGACTTTTCAAAGTTCCATGGTACATTAGGACGAACGACATCCTTAGGGACATCAAGATTGATCCCATCAAAAAATACATAAAGCATAGAGCCCTTAAATTATTTGCGAAAACTGACAGACTTACCAACACCGCGTTATCAAATCTCAAAATGGTTACAGTCTCCTCGGGAAGGTATGCAGATCTGAGGTCAATTATTGGTTAGTCTGATGAAGTGATAGAAAATAATCTAGTCAAAGTGTAAAGAGGGGTTTTGAAAATACCTCGAGTTAAAAAAGAGTAAAGAGCTTCAACGTTATAACAATCTAAAAATATTTTAAAAAATTTGAAGTCTTCATATTACAAAAATTTGATTTAATTATTATTTCGCTGAAAAATTGTGTACTCTTAGAAGTGATATGATATCATTACAACTCAGACTAATTACACTTGTAATTTGGACAGTTGTATTGTAATTTATTTGTTTTTTTATTATTATTATTATTATTCTTGACTGTTTAATTAGGAAATTCCCCTTTGACTGTGGTTTTGAGATGCTTTTCTCATCTTTACAACGTCGGAAAAATTAAAATTATTTTACACACGCGTAGGTAAATTAAGAAAAAACAAAATAAATTTAAAAAAAAATGGGAAATAATCAAATTAAATTGTAATAACAAATTAAAGAATGAGTTTGTGTATTTCTTTTGCAATTAAAATATGTACATACATATATAA